CAATGGAATTGACCCTATGTACGGCGAGCATGTCAAGAATGTTCCCTACCCAATGCCGAAACAAGAGGTCGACGACTCTCGGAGACAACAAGTCCAGCAGGTCCAACAGGTCCAGCAAGTCCAGCAAGTACAACAGGTCCAACAAGTTCCCGACAATCGCAAGAAGAGCGCAAATGTCGATCCAGGTTGGGCCCGCAGCCCTCGTATCTTGCTTGTGGAAGACGATCAGACGTGTCGTCAGATTGGCGGAAAATTCTTATACTCATTCTCTTGTATCATCGATACCGCGGTATGCTTCTCGCAAAACTTTCTTCTCGCATTCAACGCTGACTTGGCTCTCAGCTCGATGGATTAGAGGCCGTGACGAAAGCCCAGGCCAACCCCGGATATGATTTGATTCTCATGGATATTATTATGCCTAATCTGGATGGTGTCTCCGCAACGCATCTCATCCGCCAGTTTGATAGGACTCCTATCATAGCCATGACCTCCAATATCAGGAGCGACGATATCCAGCTCTATTTTCAGCATGGTACGTCATTTCTCTCGATCTCCTGCTCATTACAGTCCCAAAGTAGACTGACTTGAATTAGGCATGGACGATGTCCTTCCCAAACCATTCACGCGAAAGAGTCTTCTCGATATGCTTGAGAAGCACTTGTCCCATTTGAAAGTCGCATCGCAGACTATAGAAGCTCCGCAGCCAGCCGTACCTGTCACGATGGCTGCTCAGAGCTCCGCCGCACATTCGATCAAAGAGGACAGCTCTCCAGGCCAGTCACCGGCAACATCGGTGAACAACTGGCAGTCACCGGGCCAATACCAAGGCATGGCCGCTGTACCTCATAGCATGCAGCCTGTCCCGAGTCAGTATGTTCCCACGACCCCGGGTCCCGCTGCATACGCCGTTGATCAAAACGGCGTTCAATATGCCACTCCCACTGTGGCCCTTGCCCAAGCAGCACCCGCTGCTCGGCCACAGGTACGACGGCAACTTTCAGAAATGTCGAGTGCGGGTGAAAACCCGGGCATGGCCAAGAGGCCGCGGATGTACGCACATCCAAGCCAGCCTATCGTCAGTTCCATGCAGGCCACACGAACTGGCTAGCTGACGTGCGGCTATCTTTGTATCACTTTCCGCCACTCCCACCTCCCCTTTTGCAATAGCGGTGACCCTAGATTCCATCCATCTACTTCTTCATCTCTCCGCTCGTTGAACATCCTATCCTCGAGCTCTCCATTCCATGAGTTTCCATAACCTTTTTGCGATGGTTATTGAACCATACCTTGTTGTGACATTCAGGAGTTGTGCTACATTTCTGTCCCTTTTGGAATTATACGATATATCACGGTGTCGGGGCGCGTCTTATCATTTGCATCTGATTTGGGGACCCGCTTGCAGCAAAGCTGGTCGGTTGTTATTCGTATAGGGTGACTGGGCTAGTTCTGAAGGTCTCTGTTTCCTGGCATCCAGGTCCGTGGGCCCGTTCGGGCCCACGGACTGGCAGCATTAGTATCATCTTTTTGTACGTATTATCAGTTTTGTGGATCGTTGAGGCGCTGGCATCTGTGTAATCCCATTGTGGGGTGCAGGCAATTTCTCTCTTGCGTCTTTGTTATCTTATCGAAGTTGCAGAAAAGCTGCTTCCAAGAAGATTTGTGATTCAAGATACATACAACAGCACTCCTATGCATCAATACCATACAGCTTCTTTCCATAAAGCAGTCGATTGAGTTGATTCTCGAAGCCAGGAAATGTTGTTTCAGTTGAGTCCGTACAGCACACGTAAGCTACCAAAAAGGGATACATCTACAGTACCGTGGACACCACTTTTTAGACTCATTCGGCCCTCAGAGGGGCAGATCTGATCCTCGCCCACCGCAACCCAAGCTTTCAGCGGCCCCCCGATCGAGCGTTCATCAGCTAAATTATGGCAGCTTGAGTTCTAGACCCACGGTTCCTGAACAAGGGGGATTCCTTTGAGTCCAGGAGGGCCCAGACCGTGGATGACGTTCTGGACTCGACAACTCCCAACTGCGGTTAGCAGCTGTGGCTGAGGGCTCTCCCGTCACATGACACAGTGTCCCACGTGACCCATCGCGACAGCAATGAGCTTCGGCAAACAAAGCAAACAGGTCGCAAGGTGGGATGAAGTCTGACTCCGACGGAGGGACAAAGGCTTGGCGGAGATTTTGCGACTCTCTCTCCAACGCGGTTGTCACTTTGCGTCGGCATCACCCCCGTGAGCTTCATCTTCGAACTTACGAACTCTCTCTCAGCTCCGGAGAAGACTCTTTACGCGCTTGAGTAAGGCTGGGCAGAGTCAAAAACTACACAAGTTGCCAGAAGAAAAGCCTTAGTTTATACTTCTGAAATTATCCGATGTGAGTTTGTGCTCTTTTGTGTCCGCTGGGCTCAATTCCTCCTTCCGGGCCGCGAATGAAATCATGCTGAGATACGACTACTTTAGATGGGTCCGAAGAAAGGTGGCGCACCGAAGCAGAGGGGAAATGCTGCGGAGACGGTAGAGGAGACGCTCCAGGCGGTGGTATGTTTGGTTTTCATGAAAACGTTATTTATGAGGAGATCCCGGCCGGCCGGCTCGGGCATCGAAGCTGGACTTTGGCTGATCATTCTGGTGGTTTGTGATTTAGGTGCTTGCGGATACCTTTGAGACGAGATTTGAGCCCTTCACTCTGGAAAGACCTCGGGTACGTTGTGTGCTGTGTTTGGAAAGTCTGGCGGGGAGGGCAAAGGAATCATGAGTATACGTGGGCTAACACCTCTTGGCGGAGGATATAGTGTCTCTTGACGCTCGCGAACACTCCTCTTATCGAATATACCCTTGAGTTCCTTGCCAATGCGGGTGTCGAGGATGTCTTCCTCTACGGTGGTGCGCATTCGGATCAGCTGGAGCGATATATCAAGTATGTGGATCGAATTTCGGGGAAGGCTGGCGGCGCATTTTCGCGTGCATGTTGAAATTGATGCTGTGAGGCTGACAAAGAGGTGTTGGATAGTGCGTCGAAGTGGAGAGCGCCCTCGTCGCCCTTCAAGCAGCTGACTTTCCTCAAGTCGACGTCAACCTCGGTCGGAGATGTCATGCGTGATCTGGATGGCAAGCACCTGATTACCGGAGATTTCATCGTCGTCAGCGGCGATGTCATCAGCAACCTGCCGATCGAAGGCGCCTTGGCCAAGCACCGTGCTCGTCGCGAAGCCGACAAGAATGCGATCATGACTATGATCCTGCGGGAAGCCGGCCGCAACCACCGGACCAAGGCCTCTTCCGTGTCCCCCGTCTTTGTGATCGACCCGACCAAGGACCGTTGTCTGCACTACGAGGAGATTGATCAACACAACCCCGATTCCACGCGCCTGAACATCGAACCGGAAATCATCACTTCACACCAGGAAATCGACTTGCGCCAGGACCTGATCGACTGCAACATCGATATCTGCACGCCTGATGTGCTGAGTCTCTGGTCCGACAGCTTCGATTACCAGGCGCCGCGCAAGCAGTTCTTGTTCGGTGTGTTGAAAGACTACGAGCTGAACGGCAAGACGATTCACACGCACATCATCAAGGACCACTATGCGGCCCGCGTGAGAAACCTGAAGGCGTACGATGCTATCAGCAAGGATATCATCTCCCGATGGACGTATCCTCTTTGCCCCGACACCAACCTCCTTCCAGGACACAACTACGAGCTCCGCAAGGGAAGCCTGTACCAGGAACAGGGCGTGACTCTGGCCCGCTCGTGTGTCATCGGCCGCCGAACGGTTATCGGCCAGGGAACGAGTATCGGGGACAAGACGACGGTCAAGGATACAGTTCTCGGCCGGGACTGCAAGATTGGCAAGAACGTCACCTTGGAAGGTGCCTACATCTGGGACGGTGCGGTGATTGGTGACGGAACGACAGTCAGACAGGCCATCGTTGCCGACCGGGCAGTCGTTGGAAAGAACTGTACCGTCGAGCCTGGTGCTCTCATCTCTTTTGGCGTGGAGATTGCGGACGGAATCAAGGTTACCGAGGGACTGCGCATCACGAAAGCACCCAGAGACGAGGACGACGGTGTACCCACTAGCGAGCCTGAGATTGTCGGTGAAGGGGGTACGGGCTACGAATATGTTCCCTACGAAGATGAGGATGAGGATGACACAGCCAGTAACGCCTCGTCAGGATTGAGTAAGTACTTTCCCTTCGGCTGAATGCCTGATTCTCGCTAACCGTACACCTGCAGTCTACAACATGGCACATCTCTCGCTATCCACCGACTCCATCTCCACACTTTCATCAGAGATTTCCGACTTTGGCGGCTCCCGCTCTGGGAGCTTTAGTACTACGATGTCTGATGATGAGGATTCGGACCACTTTGTACACGATGCTGCGGCCAGCGTCTATGACAGTCTGCGGGAAGGCGTCACGTCGGATGTGGTTCAGCTGGAACTGGTTAGTCTGCGTATGACGGCCAACGCCTCGGACCACCAGGTTCGCCGCGCCGTGGTCTCCGCGTTCATGAAGCGGGTGGCGCAGTTGATGGAAGGTGGAAAGGGCGCCGGAGAGGCGGTCCGAGAGATCTTCGGCAAGTACCGGGAAATCGTCGAGCGGGCTTTGTTCGACCGCGAGCGTGAAGACAAGCCCGACCAGGTTGACCTGCTTGTCCTCCTTCAGCAGGACTTGGTGCACCGCAGCCGTGGCGATACGGTTCTCTTGTTCATCGCTAAGGAGCTGTACGACTTGGAAATCATTGACGAGGAAGCCTACGAGCAATGGTGGGACGATGAGCGCTCGAGCAGCACCGAGGAGATGCGCCAAGTGCGCAGCCAAGCACAGCAGTTTGTTGACTGGTTGGCCAATGCTGAGGAGGAGGAGAGTAGTGAAGAGGAAGAGAGCGAGGAGGAGGAAGATGACGACTGAATGAATGACCTAGACTGTGGCATATAGACTGCTTTCAAAATCCAAGCTACGATCATGATCGATTGTTGGTCAACGATGATATACACCTTGTGGTACCTGGGTACCTGGGTGCCTGGGTGCCTGAAATAACAGGCTACAAATTTAGCGGTCAGATGCTACGTGGAGAGTAGATTTTAGTTATGGGATGCGTCATTCCTCTGGAAAAACGGGGCTGTAGCTGAGGTTATTCGACTTGCGACATATTCAACTCGAAAATCACCTCCCCCCAATCCTAGTAACAATTGATCCGCCAGGGGGTGTAGGTGGTACGGGGTCAGTAACTAGGCTGAATGGCTCTGCAGCCTGCATCCGTCCCCACTTTGGAGCCTCAAGGTGACATATAAAATCCCTTTTTTGATGTCAGCTGTGTTCTCTCTCCTTTCTCCTGACCTGAGTTGGGAGCTCGCCAGTTTTGCACCCTGAGGCGACAGATTTATCGTTGCATGATTTCGGTTTTTATGAACATAAGTCTGAAGAGGACTGACGAGTTGTATTGTCTGTTCGGGTTGTGAGCGGTAAGGTAGTTTTCCGAAGGAGCTGAGCAGAGAGAGCAAGTCAAGGCGGTCGGACCAAGTGATCTACCCCCACATCATCTCATTCTCTCCCCTCCCTCCCTCTCTCTCTCTCTCCCGTGACGTCCATCCGCTCCCTTAGTGACACCCACTCATCCACTCACCCACCCTGACTACCACCACTACCACATCCGCGCTTCTTCTCCTTCTTTTCCATTTCCTCCACCCCTCTCCAGATTGATAACCTCAAGCTACGCATCAATCATATTGAGAACTAATCCTGCACGATTCCCCCACCGCGGACTCCTTCCTTTCCCTTCCATCCCACCCTTCGGATCTCGGAAAATTTACCTCACCCTGATTCCTCGGTAGGCTGTGACTGTGTTGCCCGGTAAAAAAGGAAGGTCTCGACCAACCATCTCGAGACCGACTTTTTTTTCGTGTCAACACAAACCCCGGCTTGCCAACGGACTCTGCCCAAAGCTATTCACCACGCCTCCCCTCACGAGAAAGAGAAAGGCGGCCGAGGCGACGCTTGTAGACAACGCGACCACAGCAGCAGCGATAGCAGCCGCCACCACCACCTCCTCCGATACTAACGTCGCCTTCGCGCCCGCCGCCACCGCACCCTGCTCTTCTGACAAATCCACCCGGAAAAAGCTCAAGTCGACCGACCGGGACCCCGACACCGAATCCCTTGCTGCGATCTCCAACGGCCTCTCGGATCTGTTGGAGGAGGAGAAGAAGTCGAAGGCGACTGATCTCGTTACCCCTGCGTCGACCAGCATGGAGTCCGACGAGGATTTCATGAGCGTCGGTTCCAGTCCCGATGACTTTCTAGACACCCAAGGCAGTGATGTCGAGAGCCTGGGCGACGGTACGTGATGATGCTAGCTCCCAATGCTCTCCCTCTCTCTCCTACACTTCTTCTGCCTTGTGCGTCGATCGTAACACTGACCCGTGTTGTTCCTGGGAAAACAGATTTCGGTGACGACTTTGACGGCGGGTTCTCCAAAGACAAGGATATCATCGCGACGAAACGGAAGCCGTACGAGGTGGAATTCAAAGTCTTGAGCCCGGACGATATCGAGCGGCAGCAGAATGTGCAGATCAACGAGGTTTCCTCGATTCTCGGCCTGCCCCCAGAGTCGTCGGCCATCCTGTTGCGGTACGGACGGTGGAAACGCGAGAAGTTGATCGAGTCGTATATGGATCATCCGGAAGAGACCCTGGAGGAGGCGGGCCTGGGGACCAACTTTGAGGGAACGCCGAAGACCGAGGTGGTATCCGGGTTCGTGTGTGAGATTTGCTGCGAGGATGGCGACGAGCTCGAGACGTATGCTATGCGCTGCGGGCACCGCTTCTGCGTTGACTGCTATCGCCACTACCTGGCCCAGAAGATTCGCGGGGAGGGTGAGGCAGCGCGGATCGAATGTCCCGGCAATGACTGTCACATGATTGTGGACTCGAAATCATTAGGATTGCTTGTGACGGATGATCTACGGGAAAGGTAAGATGGACCCGATTTTAAGGGGGATGTTGCTCACAACGCTGATGTTTTCTGGCAGATACAAAGCTCTTCTCATGCGGACGTACGTCGACGACAAAGATAATCTCAAATGGTGCCCTGCACCGGAATGTGTATATGCGGTGGACTGTCCTATCAAGCAGCGTGATCTGCGCCGCATTGTGCCCACAGTCCAGTGCGACTGTAAGCACTACTTCTGTTTTGGATGTACACTCAACGACCATCAGCCTGCACCATGCATGCTGGTCAAGATGTGGCTGAAGAAGTGTGAGGATGATTCCGAGACCGCGAACTGGATCTCCGCCAACACGAAAGAGTGCCCGAGATGCCATTCAACGATCGAGAAGAACGGTGGCTGCAACCACATGACGTGTCGAAAGTGCAAGCATGAGTTTTGCTGGATGTGTATGGGACTGTGGTCGGAGCATGGCACTAGCTGGTACAACTGCAACCGGTACGAGGAGAAATCCGGGTCCGAGGCCCGCACTGCGCAGGCGCGATCTCGGGAGTCGCTGGAGCGGTACCTCCACTACTACAACCGATATGCCAACCACGAGCAGTCGGCCAAGCTGGATAAGGACCTGTACCTGAAGACGGAGAAGAAGATGACCAGTCTTCAGTCGCAATCCGGTCTCTCGTGGATCGAAGTCCAGTTTCTGGACACCGCATCGCAGGCACTGCAACAATGCCGACAGACCCTGAAGTGGACGTATGCGTTTGCCTACTACCTCGCGCGCAACAACCTGACCGAGATCTTCGAGGACAATCAGAAGGATCTAGAGATGGCCGTGGAGAGTCTGAGTGAGATGTTCGAGAAACCGGTACCAGAGCTCGCAAAACTGAAGGTCGATATTTTGGACAAAACGGCTTACTGTAACAAACGGCGGGTGATTTTGCTGAGCGACACAGCAGAGAATTTGAAAAATGGTACGTTCTTCCCTTTCTTTGTTTCTTCATACTTGGGGTGAATGGTCCACTGATTTTCGATCAACAGGAGAATGGTCATTTAATGTGGATTGGTAGAGAACAGACATACTCAACTCCTTCCCCTCCATCCCCCTTCCCGTGCAACTAGAAGCAAGCATAAGAAATCACGACGTGCATGACAAAAAACCAGCGCATATGGATTGTTTTCTCCCTTCATCATCGATACTTATATTCATCTCTTGTTTATCCCAGACAGGCGCACCCCCGATTGTTCCCTACTGTATGTATCTCTATACATGACTACTTGCAGGGCGAGACCATTTTCTGTTTGCACTCATCCTCTATGTATGTGATACTGGCCGCCTCATTTTGTTATTACAGTCTGTCTTTTTTTTTTTTCGCAAGCCGATAAGGTTGCGAGGATGTTATATTTATATTCTTATTCGTCTTGAAACTGGCGACCTCTCTTCTTAGCATGTGCATTTTCTTGAAACTGTTTTCCATGGGAAAGAGGTATTGAACATGCTGCGTCTCAGAAACTTCTCGATTAGCTGGAATGACACAAAGATAGCTATGTTTACATGTTTGGCCAGGGTTACTGAATGAACTCAGGTTGGAACCAAGTTCTTGTTTTAATTGTTAGATGTGCACGTCTCATTCTATCCCGTAGTGGCGACAACTACAGAAGAGCAGTTGTTAGTGAGTACATAGTGCCGGAAGTAAATAGCTCTCACACAGGAAGCGGGACGGGGAGGAAGAACTGAGCCTTGAACTAACTAGACTAGACAGACAGTAAGTCAGGTGCTTCATGTGCCGTGTTTCTATCTCCTCGGAACTTTTCGATCCTGATGGGTCTCAAGTCTTGACTCTCCTTTTTTTGGCCCATGGTTTAGGTAATTGATCCATCGATTTTAATTCTTCCATTTCCCTTCTGGAATAGAATGTCCCACTTTTTTTTTTCTTTGTCGCGGCTGAGTCCTGACAGACAGGATTGATCTTAGATTCTGGATGGAGTACAGAGTAGTCTGCAGGATGTAGGAGATGATCAGGTTGGGATTGATGGGGGATCATCTATTTTTTTTCTGGTTGAGTTTCTTTACCAGGCCTTTTTTTTTTCTCTCGAATTCTCTACGGGCTTCCATAGTACGTCTACTAAGTGGCTGTAGAGATTATAGGGTTTGACTTTGAGTCGTTCTGTCTGGTGTTGGGAGGGTATACTCAATCATACTAGGAAGAGGATGTCCGAAATCTCAATCAGATAAGACAGCGACAATCAAAGGAACCCGGATTCAAGGTTCCCGTCCTTTTTTTTTTTTTTTTTTTTCACTTTTCGGATCATCGGGGACGCCTAGCCCCGAGAGGGAAAAGCCAACTGGTGGGTCACCAAATGAATGATTCCTCCGCGGTTCGGCGGTTGGATTAGACTGCTCTACCACTAACTAACGTTGCTGGCACTAGTTATCGGTCATGAGGCAGTAGAAAAGATGGGAAAGAAAGCCTAGCTTTTCAGTACAGTGGAATCGAGAAGGTGGCGGAGGTGCTTTGGAGGGTGCGATGTTAGATCTGTGACTTTGTGGCTCAGAAGAGGCAGGCCCAGTTTGTCAGCCTTGAGCAGAAAAGTAACAGATTACAACTGTTCATGACATGTGGGCATGAGGGCAAAGCTCCGTCATCGGACTGGGGATGAGATGCCTCGGTGTACACAGTAAGATTATTGCCTAAGCTTGGGAGGCTAGCCTGTTCTAGGTCGGGGTAGCTGATTCAGCGATCCCGACCGGGGAGAGGGAGAAGAATACCGAAAGAAAATCAGGACTGTCGCGATGAACGAAAGAAGTAATACAAAGAGAAGAATTTTATTGAGAAGGACAATGTGCCTCTATGTGATGATATTGTACCTATATTGGGCAACCCAAAGCACAGTTGGAGTGAGAAATCGCGTGGCTAATTGTACCCCATGTCAATCCATCTACTTACTCACTTATCTGATATGATCGACTCGAGGGACAATCAGAAGTCACAGCTACTGTGACAACTAAGGATCAAGCTTGCAGGAAGCATATTAGCATGATAGTACGCCGTACTCTGTAACACCACTGCATGAATCAGAATGGTTCCCAAATCAGTTTGGCTCACTGCCGGACCTCTCTCTCTCTCTCGTTCAGATCCTGACCGTACCATTACCGGACATTCCGCTTTCATACCTCGTTGTAGCTCCCGAGTCCCAGTTGGCCCCAGTCTAGCCTGGAAGGGTCAGGTACCATACCGTCAGAATGGTAACCAGTCGGTACGGGATACTTGCTGCTATCGGCCTGCAGGCGGACTTTTTTAGTTCACCATCCCAAGAATTATCAGCATTTCTTCTTTTCCTGCCTTCTCTCCATCTCTCCCCTCATCTTCCCTACCGCATTGATTCTTCCCCGTACTTACTCGGGTTGAGGCTGGTCTCTCTACTATCTCCTTGTTCTCCTCCCTCTTCTGCATCTCCTTACAGTTCCTCGAGAAACGCCCTCCCCTTCTCCCTACCGCTATACCCACTTTCCCAGTCCCCTCCGCCCGGATCGGCCTTCCCTCTCCGCTCCGCAAAGTCCGTTTTTCTGCGTCGGCATTTTCGGGCCTACAGCTTTGAGAACCAACTCTCCTCGATCGCCCTTTGGAGCTCCCTTCGCGTTTCTTCTTCCACGTATCTCGTCGCTTCGTAGCACTCGCTACGCTCAGAATACCTCAAGAGCTCAATGGCGGTCCCCGAACAGATCCCCGGGCAAGAATATGAGTATGTGGCTCCTGTCCGCTCTCCAGTCCACATTTCCCTGCCTTGGTCGGCAATGGCCTCCACCATCCGTGGACTCAAAACACATCTGCGGAAGGGGGGCATTCTAGGTCACAGTTTTCGCTATACTCCGTAACTGGAACTGCGCTGCTTGGCTACGAATCGCCAAAGACCAGGAAATAACGGCACACTTTTTCTGTGTAATGACCACCCGCTAACCGCAGCCTGATGATGACAGCTATGAAGCCCTCCCCTCCAACTACGGCTTAGGCGCCAATATGTTGGCTGGCGCCTTTGCAGGAATTGCAGTACGTGCTAGGACGAGCAGAAACTTATCTTTGAAGTGGCTGGGGTGTGCTGACCATGGGGGTCCTTGTTTTAGGAACACTCTGTCATGTATCCGGTAGACTTGTTGAAGGTATGTGGCTCATGCGAATTGTGGCACCAGATGCGAGCTTGCAGAGGCAGTGCGCAGGAATCTCAACTTGGCTGGGGGAAACTAACACCTTGACAGACTCGCATGCAAATCTTGCATCCTACGACTGGAGGGCTCTACACAGGCTTGACTAATGCGGTTTCGACGATTTACCGGATTGAGGGCTGGCGGACACTGTGGAAGGGTGTCTCGAGTGTGATCGTTGGCGCTGGTGAGTTTTTTGCGAGAGCAGCAGGATCGGAAATTTGGACGGAAGTCTGACTGGTGTTTCCCCCTCGGACAGGTCCCGCTCACGCCGTGTACTTTGGAACATATGAGATGGTGAAGGAGATGGCGGGTGGTAATGTCGACGACGGCCATCACCCGGTCGCGGCAGGTGAGTTGCAATTTTCGCAGATGTGAAGCGACACGGGCGCGATGGCTGACTGGCCATAAACTACTAGCTCTGAGCGGTGCTTCTGCGACTATCGCTAGCGATGCCTTGATGAATCCCTTTGACGGTGAGTTTTTGTGCGACTGCTCGACTTCGCAAAGCAGCCTCTGACTCCGCGCAGTGATCAAGCAACGTATGCAGGTGCATGGTTCGGTACACAAGAGTCTCCTTCAATGTGCCCGGTCTGTTTACCGCACGGAAGGTTTCCAGGCATTCTATGTCTCCTATCCCACTACCCTCTGCATGACTGTCCCCTTCACCGCCACTCAGTTTGTCGCCTACGAGTCCATTTCCAAGATCATGAACCCGTCGCAGGATTACGACCCGTTCACGCACTGTATGGCCGGTGGTCTGGCGGGTGCCTTTGCGGCCGGTCTGACCACCCCGCTCGACGTGGTGAAGACGCTGCTGCAAACTCGGGGTTTGGCGCAAAACGAGGAAATCCGCTCGGCCAAGGGTCTGTTCAACGCGGCGGCCATCATTAAGCGGCAGTTTGGCTGGAAGGGCTTCCTGCGTGGCGCTCGGCCCCGCATCATTTCCACCATGCCCAGTACCGCTATTTGCTGGTGAGATCGATCCGGCACCAAACTCTTGGAGAAACATTTCGCTGATCGTATTTATCTAGGACCTCCTACGAGATGGCCAAGGCCTATTTCAAGGGCCAGCCGGACAACTAAGCCCACCTTTTCATTTTTTCCTCAACGGCCCAATCGCATGAATCCGACACACTTCAGCTTCCCAACCCACTTCTTCGCTTCCCTTCCTCTGCACCTGATCCCCGGGGAGAAACACGCAACAACCCCCTCCCGCCTTTGCATCGCTTCCCCCTCCTAAAAAACATTCAAGGATAGAAATAATAAAATCACGACTCAGAAAATAGCCCAAAATGCTTCGATTCGATGGAGAGAAAAAAGAACGAACCTATTATCCAATGCATCACATGCGAGGAGGAAGGCAGACATTGCAGAAGACAGGGTCCCCCGGTGACACTATCTGGGCGCTGATATAGGGGGCTTTGTCCTCTTCCGATGTTTCTCTCGCTCCTGGTTCCTCTGTCCCCTGCTTGGTTCTCTGTCTTGCTACACACTCACTCCCGTCAGTTCGAGTGTCAATATCATCATCATCATTATCATCACCACCACCACCACTACCACCACCACTATACCCCCGACATTTTACATATCGCCAAGTCCGAAGCCCACACGGGAAGACTCCGAGGGACTCCCAGTCTATCTCCGAGCTGAGCTGGAACCATACTCATATTACTCTTCTGACGTGTTATTTTTCAATTTTCTTGATCTGGATGGGGGTTTCTATTTGGCTGGATGAGTTGGCTAGATGGCGAAAAGTGGATCATCGGGGTGTGGATTGGCGGTTGCGCAGCTGCTGTAATTACTGCTGCTTCTTGGTTGGTTCGAGGCCTTTCTGATTTCACTGGGCCTGATGTATGCTTAACTGGTAGGCGTTGACGGGACGCAAGGGGGAAATATCTGGACGATTTTCCTTTTTTTTTGGACTGTCAGGTTGGACTACTACATCTTCTTCCTCTCTGCGCTGCACTGCATTTTATTCTTAGTCTTTGCTGCGCCGTTCGGGATACACTGCGATTGATTCATTGTGAATAAATTTCTGTATGTACGTTATATAGAGAGAAACTGCAGGAAGAGGCTGATTGGTTTTGTTGGTTGGTTTTGAAGTGGATGGAATGATCCAAAATATGAGACCCTTTATATTAATGATTAATGAGAGGAGGCGAAGAGGCACTGCAAAGAGAAGGAGGGGAAGAAAGCTGAGCGTCCAACGAACGACGTCACTGGGAAAAATCGGAAAAAGAACATCCCCAGACCGAACCCGGCCAAACCCCCTCCAGTTCTCTTCCTACTTGCTACTGCCGACTTTCGACTTCTCCCACTCTCTTTTTATTCCTCAATTTCACTTCACCCCAACTGACGGACTCTTCTCCACCCACTCAATTGGTTGATCTGCACACTTTACCCCTGCCACTCGTTTCTCCTCCGTCGATCTCCCTTTAATCCCTCCTTTTCCCTCTATAAGTCAATTGCGGGCGGGTCCTGCAAGATTCCCGCTCCATCTCCTCCTCCCCTCCCCCTCCTTCGACTTCGAATGAATGATGCGCCCCAAGCCGGCGTCTTCATTGCAGAAGACCTACGATGATTGCTATTTGATGTGCTCAACTGCCGTCTACTTTGAGGGCCAGGTCTGTACTTCCCCCTCCCCCCCCCCCCCCAGCATTCTACCCCCATACTTCAAGCTAAACTATTCCGATTCTGTCAGAATAATGAGGAGGAAGCCTTAAGATCTTGGCGCTCCGCCCTGGAAACGATCTACTATCACAACGCTTATCGAGTCCCCGCCAAGTATACCCCCAAGAACGAAACCGAACGAGCGTTGCAGGACTCCATCCGTCAGTTGGAGCTGCAATGCCGCGAGCGCGTCGATCTTCTGCAAGCCCTTCGCGAAAGTCGAAAGGATACATCGGGCAAATCGCCTCCGCGAGCCACCCCCGGTTGGATCGGCGACGGGACCGTCCCCGCCGTTGGATACACCGATCTCTCCAAACCGCCCACCATCCCCGGTCGTCCGACTCCCACCACCACCGTCAGTTCGGAGTCAATCCGACGGGAGTCAGCCAGTGCCGCCACTTCTCCCCCCATGCCGGGCACCCCCGCCCTGCGCACCCAATCGCATTCCCCGAGCAAGGCCGATTCGCGCACCTCTAGCCCCGAACGGCGGAAGCTGACCATGCCTTTTACCCTGCGCAGTTCGGAGATCAAGAAACAGAGCAAGAAGAAGGACAGCTCCCGCCGGAGGGATCTGCGGCCGGCCGCAGCCTCCCAGGCCGCAGGGTTGGCCTGGGGTAGCATCTACCCATCCTTCACGCCGCCAGACAGAACGGCCAGTGATGCGGCATTGGCCTCGACCCGGGCCTCCAATGACTCCAGCATCCGAAAAGAGTCGGAATCCCGCCGTCCGCTCTCCGGCGACGAGCGTGTTCCAAGGAGAGCAACACATCCGGCAGATGACCCCGACGAACGTCGACATGGCCGTAAACCCCGTGCCTCAGACCAGTCGGTATCGCATCGGCCCTCTGCACGGAGAACGGCAACCTCCTCCTCCACTACCACCCCTACTACATCGACGCACCGCAAACCGGTCGGCGGCGAAGTTCGACATCAGTCCTCTAATCAGTCGCTCCCCGCTTCGGTTGAATCGCAATCAAGGAATGTCGGTCGGCCGCAGCCTCCACCTAAGCCTTCTATCAAACCGAAACCGGTCTCCCTACGGTCACCCCATCCCACTTCCTCCCCATCAGGTGTGTCACCAGACCCGCCGGAAGGTTCGGGCACGCCGCGAACCAAGCCGGCATCTCGTCCACGGATTACACCCACCTCGTCAACCGATGGCAGGCTGGTCCCTGGGTTGGATCGTCTGACCCTCACACCCAGCAGCGCGAAGGTCGCTGCTCAGTCGCCAGGAGGCCTGAATCGCACGGTAACGCCTCCTTCCAGCGACCCTGAATCATCCGGGCCCAAGTCTACGGATCCTGACGAGGGAGACCTCGAGGAAGAAGACGAAGAGGATGCCATCATGAATGTGATGAATAAGCTCCCGAAAGGCGTCGATGCGACGGCTGCGCGCCAAATATTGAACGACATCGTTGTCCGCGGCGACGAAGTCCACTGGGACGATATTGCCGGTCTGGACGGAGCCAAGAAGGCCCTCAAAGAAGCCGTGGTTTACCCTTTCCTCCGTCCCGACCTCTTTTCGGGTCTCCGCGAGCCGGCGCGCGGCATGCTCCTCTTCGGACCGCCAGGCACGGGCAAGACGATGCTGGCCCGCGCGGTGGCCACCGAATCCCGATCGACCTTCTTCTCCGTCTCGGCCTCCACGCTCACCTCGAAGTGGCACGGCGAGAGTGAGAAGCTCGTGCGCGCGCTGTTCGGCCTGGCCAAAGCCCTGGCCCCGTCCATCATCTTTGTCGACGAGATCGACTCGCTGCTCTCCGCGCGCTCCTCGGGCACCGAGAACGAAGCCTCCCGCCGCTCCAAGACCGAGTTCCTCATCCAATGGTCCGACCTCCAACGCGCCGCCGCCGGCCGCGAACAGAAGGACAAGAAAATCGGCGACGCCAGCCGCGTGCTCGTCCTCGCCGCCACAAACATGCCCTGGGACATCGACGAGGCGGCCCGTCGCCGCTTCGTCCGGCGACAGTACATCCCACTCCCCGAACAACACGTCCGCGAACAGCAACTCCGCAAACTGCTCAGTCATCAGAACCACGAGTTGACGGACGAGGACATCGAGGTATTAGTCCAGGTTACGGAGGGTGAGTTTTGCCTACGTTTCTCATTGACTCTCGTTCAAAATAACTAAGACATCTATCTAAATCCAGGCTTCTCCGGCTCCGACATGACCGCCTTGGCCAAAGACGCCGCCATGGGCCCGCTCCGCAACCTCGGAGAGGCATTGCTGCACACCCCGATGGATCAGATTCGACCGATCCGGTTCCAGGATTTCGAGGCGAGCTTGCTCTCGATCCGGCCCAGTGTCAGTAAGGAAGGGTTACAGGAGTATGAGGAGTGGGCGAGACAGTTTGGTGAACGGGGCGGATAGACAAGAATCGTCGGCATGTTGACCTTTTTTTGGCCCCTCTCTTCTAAACTCCTTCTTCCCTATTGCTGGTTTCATTGTCGTGGTATTCTGTTGGCTTGGATGTCTTGTGGGGAGTCAATCTTTCGATCTGCTTATGGCTGTACTGTGTACACTTGGTTCTGGTTCTGGGGTACGGGGTATCGGGTATACGATGTGGGCGGTCAGGCTAGGGTTGGGCACTCCGGAGTCTTTTGTTTTTCTCTCTTTCGGACAGGACAACTTGAGTACAGGCGTTTTTGTGGGAGCTGGGTTTGGGAGAAAATGGCGGGGAGTTGGATTTGTTTTAAGATGGACGGCCGCGGGCAAAGGCTTTTTTTTGGGTGTGTTTCTTCGAGGTTTACTAGGAGGGAGGATGATTTCTGTAGTATGGAACTGTAACTGTGCGGAGCAAAGAGGGGGGGGTTGATAGCTATAGGGATAGGGATAGGGATAGGTGTCCATCAGGGTTTCCGGCACAGGGTTACAGATTAGGCTATGATATCTCCCACAAACCCGATCCAAGAGCTAAGTTTGATACTATGAATAGGTGGAAGCCCATGTCACCTCAGTATTCATCTGTTTATATTGACTGTTGACACCTATGAACAGGATATAGACGATTAGTATCACTTGAGTCACAGTACTTTGTTACTGTTAAACATTATATAGTCCACGGCTAAATAGAGTAAGGGCATGATATTTAACTATTGAGAAGTACGGAGTAGTGAACCCTCCCTCCCCCTCAGAACCACCCAGAAAATCGCTCGGAAATACAAGAGTACCCTTACCCTCCTCTTAACGGTAAAAAGTAAAAAAAAAAAAAAAAAAAAAAAAACAGTGAACGCATGAAGGGTTTGCATGCAGTGATCGAGATCGACATGACCAAGGGCGCTTTGCTTGGGGTGAGGGGGGCAGGGGCCCTCAAGAAAGCTCATATACACTACCATGGCGCTGGCCCTGGAGCTCATACACCTGCCCAGAGGGCTGATCATTGAACTCTGCGAGAGTCCTTGGGTGCCCGAGCTGTCGGGCCTGCGGGACGCCTGCCGACAGCGAATCCCGCGGGTGCAAGCCGACAGCAACAAGCCCCTCGTCGTCGTCGATGGGCTTAGGGGAACGTAGTGTAGTGCATCTCCCGTGTCGGAATAGTACCACTACCGCCAGCGCCGTCAGGGTGAGTGACAGGCTCACGCCCAGCCCAATGCCGGCCTTGGCAATGTCGGAAAGACCGCCGCCGCCGCCGTCGTCGTCCGGTGACCCAGAGCTTCCGCGCATAGTAGGTAGCTCCGTCCAGTGTCCTTCCCAGCTATTCTCCCATTCGCTCAAGTTCGCGGAAATCGTGGCATCACCGGGTCTGATGACGGTCGGTCTTGCGGAGCCAGGGATATTGGGCCCGGGAGCCTGGGCTAGAAACCAGTTCCCCGCGGGAAGTCCCCAGTTGACACCAATGAATGCTGCTTGTGCAAAGGCCCGGCCCAGCGCATAGGTGCCGGTTGTGCCCATGCAAGGGAAGTAGGATGTCGAATTCTCCAGGAGAGGAGCTTTGAGCGTCAGACTCAGCAGCGAGAATGGGACCTTGATGGTCAAGTTGGCGTTGTTGCGCGAGTTCTTGCTGAACACAAACCCGAGGTATGCTGGTGACGTGATGATCTGGCTATATAGACGGTCCGTGGTGTCCCAGAAGTAAAGCCCGTAGTCGGGTTGATACATGACCGGCAGCTCGGCAGCGATCGCTGCACATGTGCTTTGGGGCAGGTAGAGGTAAGGGTCCGCGGGGCTCGTGGTCACAGTGATGCCGGGGGCAATTGATGCGTTCCCCTTGGCCAGAAGTCCATGCTGGGATGAATAGTTCCAGGGAGAGCCCCCTCTCACGACCCCAACTTCGATGTCAACCAGGCCGATGGGGAACGAACCACTGGAGAACGCCTGAGCCGAGACCTCGCCCAGAACGCGGGTCTGGTCCTAGCCCCCTAGATACAGCGATCCAGGTATCTTGGGCAGCACCGAGCCCATGCGCATGCCATAGGAGTAAGATGGAAGCATTTTGAGGGTGCCAAACATGTAGCTCGGGACGAAAGTGGTCTGGATGGCGGGCTTGTCGTCATCCTGAGTGAAAGTTTGGTTGATGTCGCTTGCGCCTAGAGAGAGAATCTCCAGGTCGACGGGGTAAGCTTTCCCTCCAGGATAAACACGATACGCATCTGTGATCCATCGAGTCGATACGTTCGGTATCCTTTTGCCACCAACATCGTAGTAGTCGAATCCGTACCTGACCGTGCCGTATTGTCGCACAGCATCGGCCTCCCCCACACGAAATGCGCCTGCTGCGCCAAATTGTATTGATTCGTTGTCGAATGTGGCAGACCTGCTGCCGTCAAACAAGCCCCCTTCCTTGCTGGTGTGGCAGATGGGCGCGAGGGTGGAATTGGAGCAAATCGACTCTAGGAAGACGGAGCCTCCCCAGCTGCCTCCGGGGTATAATGACAGCTCCTGTCCTGGCGATCCCACCTCCACTGTTACCGCGCGCCACGGACCGTCGAATCCAAACGTCTGGTCCGACCAGGATACAGCGAAGGGGCTAGTTGCTGCGGTTGCAATGCAGTTACACCATATCTCGGCAGACAGGAAAAGATAGAAAGCAAGAATAGAACGGCACATGGTGAGATCTCCAAGCATGCCTTTCTTGACAGCGTGTGAATTGAACAGCCAGAACTCCTGTAGGGGTTAAGCAATAGAGAATAGATCGAAGCCATCATTGGACAAGGGACTTGATGTCTTTTTGATCCTCAATTCTTGCCCTAGGACTGGCTGCCTTTCATCAGTTGGGTGACTTGACCCCTAGACACCCGTCCGTCTGACCTGCGACTGTCAAGTTGTAGTGGTGGTAGCCCTGACTGGCTGCACTTGACTGAGACTGATACGAGGCCAAGGCTCCGAGGCTTTCTTTTGCCATGCGGTCTCAACCCTGTTTCTGTTGCTCAGAAATAGTTCACGGTTTAGGTCATTTCACACCCAAGGGGGTAACTTTAGCGGTTTCTTCCATTCCATTGCTCTGGTCTTTCGTTGGGAACCTGCCTATCTTGCCTTTTCGTGCCTACCCGATGACGCAGGTCTTGCATGTGTCGGGCGAGTGTCTCGATGGCTACTGAAACGAGGGAGTCAAATTTTTGAATTCCCAGGCAGATCATTCAGGGGCTGAGGCAACCCCGGTAGCGTGTGTGATGAGAGGCTCAGATCCTGAACCCACCCTCCAGGATGCGCCGTGGGGACTTTTCTCTTTCCTTGCCTGCGCGGCGTAGGCTTTCCCAAGAGCAGGAACGATGGTATGCAACACATTTACTAAGGCGCGGCGCAGGTGCTACATGAAGAGAGATTAGCCACAGCTTTCAGCACATAACCAACGGGAGTCTATATTGTCAAATGATGGCCAACCCCCTCTTTTTTCCAAAGACACACGACCAAGATGTGTTGACTAGTGATCGCCAGTCCAGTCCTGACGAATTCCGTGCCAAATGTTCAGTCTACATGCAATCCACAGATTCTCTAAACGCACTGTAAGTACTAGCGGGGGGAGAGATACTCCAGTGACGAAAACAGAGCTTCGTACCTGTCGACGCTCGGCGAAATCCCGGTAGAAGCCTAACCAGAGCTCACACGAGCGACAATCTTGCATCCCCGTCTGGGTGGTATCTTTGTGACAGGCCGGTTGTTCTTTGTCCATGACCGGCCCCGGGGTCTTCCGCCAAGGCTTTTTGATTGGATCGACCGATGTCAGTAAGGACACCCAAAACAACAGGAGGAAAACCAGTTGGATAGACCAGTTTGTGCAGAACTTGCCTTGGAGACCGGCCAATCCGAGAAATGCAGGAATTTGGCCTCTGACAAGACCAAATCAGGGTCCCATCTGGTGTGCGGGGCGCCGAGGTAATTCGCGTGAGTTTTGGAACGGGACTCGCCGGTCAAGAGCATATAAGGACGGTGCGGCAGGACCATCGCACTATCCTGGTACAGATCATTCAGGATCTCCATGTCGTAGTCGGATTTCCCGGCCACTTGGATCCTCTCCCAGATGGAACCAAACTCGGATTCCGAGGGCTGAATCAAAATCACCGCGAAGGTTAGCAGGCGATGATCGAACCCGAGCCAGTACGCGCGTGGCATTGCCACGGGGACCGGGGGGAGAAGAAACAATTCATCCATTGCCTGGTAGGGGTTTTGAGGGGGTGACTGTCAGTATTTGTTCAGACAGCCAGCCAGCATTGAGGGGGGGGGAACATACCTGCAAGATTGTCCCATCAGAGTCTAGACTCAACACCCGCGCGTACTGGGTTTGGTTGAAAGCAAGAAGCTTAGTATAGCTCTCTGCCCATGTGACTGAGTTGAGAGTTAGTCCAAATCTCTTCTTTCCCCAATGGAATTCCTCACCATCACTACTGCTTCGACTCTGCACGTCAATCGGAACCAGCCGCACGCGGTATCGCGCGTGCATCTTGCGCAGTAACCCACCTTCGATGGAGTCCATCTCTGGATCGAAATGCGAAGGATACATCAGAACGCAATCTGGCTGGCTTAGCAAGTGGTGAAGTCTCTCAAAAATCATCACCGAGTTGCAAAGATAGGCGGTGTTGGTAGCATATTGCACGTAGGCAAACCGTGACCAGTCGATATTACCCAGAGACTGGACTGGCAAGGGCGGGTCACTGCGACAGAATACCGGAGAACCTCTGATTGGCAGCCTCCATAGAAGTAGAACGAGGAGGATGGCACAGAAGGGTAGACAAAGAAACCGGGACGGAAGTAACATTGCGGGAGAAATTGGTATACAACTGCTGCTGCCGGGCGAAGAAAAAGTCGCTCATACCGATCTCTGCTGGATCTGGAGTATATGTGCAAAGGAAGTTTTCAAGAATGGAAGCACTCGTATACCTCGAAAGGCATTTATATCGTTCATGAGACTTTAGGGGGGGGGGCTCTTCTCGGGCTTCTAGGGCTTCAGGGCTAAGATCATGTCCCATGGTACTATACGACTACACAGCAATCATTGCTGGAATCCTAATGTGTCTTTTATGCTTCATTTCGACAAACATGGTATTGATTACCTGGTCAGCTATTGCAATACTTGATTTCCGTGGGAGTAGTCCAAGCTTCAGGCTCGAAGCTATACCGTCCATAGATGCCAGCCTTTATAATCTTACCACATAGGTCTCAGTAGTAGTAGTACTCAGTAGTAGCCACCTGCAGGTGGAGAGATAACCTTTTCAGCTAGTCTTCAACAGGTAGTATAGGCAACTTTGCCAGGACAAGTAAGTCAGAGTACGACATTGGATCTTGCCTCCTTTTCCTTTCTTTTCTCCTTTTTTCTTTACGACCCCCTTGATTTGAAAAAGCTTGCTAGACTAGTACCTTCTCAGTTTCGGCCTCCTTCAATTCTTTCGCCAACGATCACTTTAGAGGCACAGGGTGGTTCAGATACTGTACTTGGATGATATCTTTAGACCCTTTGTTGCTTCATCCGAGGTTAGCCACCGGCCTTTGTTCTATTCGGGCAAGCCAAGAACAAAAACGAGGGACAGAGGGTCGCATCGCCGGTATGACATTTTCCCAAATCAACCAAATAAGAATAAAATAATTGAAAATGAACATCTGAGTCAATTACCCTCTGTGGCCACAAATTTTAAAACATGCTAAGGCCGTTCTGCAGCCACCTTTCTTAGTTCTATATAGCGTCTCTTGTAACGCCTATCCACCTTCTAATTAAGAAGATTAATATAATATATTATATTATATTACCGAATTGCTTTGATTTTCAGGGTTTTCTATTTCTTCTGACCTCGACCCTATTGAAACTATATAAAATTTAAATCAAGAATTGGATTTGATGTTATTCTCCGGATAACTTCAGCGACAAGACGTTGATTTAAAAAATTTTATATACAGACTTGGAAGAAAATTGGCCAGCTTATTCTGCCAGTCTTAACAAGAATACTTTCTGGAAAAATTGAAAATATAATCCGTGCATATAGTGGTTCAACAAAATGGTAAAAATTCTCAAATAGTTTTAAGTTTCGGGCTTTTAATTGTTTAGTATATTAATGAGTTTTCTTATATTATTTGTAAAATAATTTACATCTTTACTACTAAATCTGTAAGGCGTTCTGAGCTGCTTCTACTAGTAGGTCCCGGAGAGTTGTAAAATTCGTGGCCACGGAGGGTACATGTCTTTGGTACCTCTAGGTTTGGTTTGGAAAGTAACTATAACAAGCCCTCTACCAAAGGGGTCGAGGTGTAGATCTTTTTACTTAAAATCAATCAGTCCATATGGTCGAATATCAGCTGCAGTGTATCAGTAGAGAAACTCTACATAGTTGGGGTATTACTCATGAGAAGCACTAATTCCTTGATACTGAGGGTAGTGGGCCTTCTATCGGTCAAAAAAAGAAGGGGTCCTTTTGAAGCTTGATGTCAAGGTGCTGAGCGCTAGAGGTCCGCTGCGGTATGCTAGTAGGGCTTCGTACAAGCGAGGCAATTTATATGAGTAGGGCTATTCCTGTAAGCAAAACAGTTTATGCGAGTGATGACTCCCGCGAGCGAGGGGTTCATACAAGTGAGGATCTACATGAGCGAGGTGGCTCGTGCGAGTTGACAAGCAGGACAAGCAGGTCGTACCGCGGTGGTCATGTGAGCAAGGCATCGAGCGAACGATGTGGAAGATTATCCAATGCTCAACCCGGCCTGAGCTTGACCAGAGAAAACAGATGTGTTGACTGTAAAAGATGTGTTGACTGTAAAAGATGGCACCAACCAATACCAATAAAGATAACAACAAGAAACCTGGTATCCGAATTCGATGACTCTTGATATCAACTATAAAGGGGGGAAAGTAATAAGAAACAAGTGAAGGCAAATAATAACAAACATAAGAAAGCCCGGGGGACAACGGGCTTTAGATATCAAAATCAGGATTAATTCCAGCCCCCCCACTCGCCGTCAATACACCAGTCCACCCCTCGGTCCTACAAATCGATCAAACTGCCACCCTGCTGAGGCTGCTGATGATACGTCTGCTGTCCCCCCCAAGGGTTGTTGACCGGCTGCGCAAACCCCGTCTGCTGTGGAACGAACTGCTGCTGCGGCTGGTTGAAGAAAGGATTGTTGCCCGTCCGCGTGGCCCGGAGCTTGTCCAATCCCTGTCCGGCCGAGTTGACAAATGTACCCGGAGCCGTGTGCTGGGCGGGAATCCGCAGATCTCCCACATTTCCGAAAGTGTCTTGTCCCTCTCCAGAAGCCAAGAGTGCGTTCAACTGTGCGCGATGCGGATCCAGCATCTGAGTGGGTGCGGTCTTCTGCGGCGTGAAAGACTGCTGGGGCGGTGCAAGTGACTGTGGCTGTGTCTGGTAGTTCGCGATCGGGTTAGGCGAAGTGAATTGGTTCGTGACCCTCTCTTCCGCCAAAGTATTCAGTGATGGAGGTCCCGTAGTAGCGGGGCGGCTCTGGAACTGCTGAGTACGTGGTGCAAATGGATTGTTCGATCCCGTGGGCATCGGCTTCAGAGCATCGGCTGGCTGTGGGCTAGCCCATGGGTTGTTCGTACCCGCCGACAAGAAGTTATCCTGAGGTTGTTGAAACTGCTGCTGTTGCGGTTGTTGCTGCTGTTGCTG